CATTGACTCATGGTGGCTATGGAAATATGGATGATTACGCACACTATCCACAACTCACATCTGCCAGCCCCGATTATAGCACTCACAGCCATGTACCTTCAAGACAAGACTATATTCATAGTGGTCATCTACAACCTGCCGATAAGACCCGCAGACGGGATCCTCATCTTGGTATGTACAACCTTAACTTCTTCTGAAGCTACTCGACGTTTCAACACCTATAATATTAATTAAAACTTCTTTATTTTTGTTTTAGAATCACCATACGGTGACGTGAGTGGCTTACCTGACCCTTACCTCGAGCAACTTATTGATAATGAGGAGCACATGAAACCTCAACCACATTTGTCCATGTCATATGACGAAAGCCTCGAGTCTGGGTATTCTACACCAAATTCACGGACGCGACGCATAATCAGAGAAATTATCGTTTAGATGCGGTGCATTATCTGCCCTATGTGTATAGTGTTTTAATTTTGACATTTTTCTTGTACATAAACAAAATGTCGTTGTGTTGTTAAGGTGTCATCAGATCTCAAAATTTTGTTTGTGCTCAACATCCATCTTTAGACCATATTTTAAACTTAAGTTATATTCAGTTTCCACCACACTGCCTTTGTGTTCTATAAACATGCAATCTGTGTATGTAAACAATTTTATTTGCAATCTTAACGAGCGTTAAGATATTCTATTTCAATGATGAACGCATATGGCCTAACTTAATGACAAAATGCACTGATTATAAAAAAACATCTGTAAAGTGATTATCTTTTTTTTTAATATTGTACTGCTGTTAGTTGTTTTAAAAACATTTGAAATGTAAATTATGTTCACTACAATACTTCAGTAATATAATTTTATTATTTGAATTATGTTAGGTTGCGCCATAACTTGTGTAACTATTGAAGTTTGTCACCCACATATACTCTCACACTCTCATTTAAGGTATAAATATAGCCAGTTGTACACTTTAAGTGTGGGATAGTATAAATATATTACATTTTATCATGAATTTTTCAAATTTCCTTTTACAAAAAAAAAAATTTTTTATATAGTTGAATAGTGATAACACGATTATGGCATTAAACCTATTACAGTATTAATCTGAACGCACATCAATAAAAAGACACATGTTCCTCATTTTTTTTCTTCATTATAAAAGATCAATTTTTCTATATTTATTTTTTTTATGTTTTTTATTTTGGTTGTTAATTGACCCAAGACTGTCCGGTATTTTACTTAATTTCTTGACCTCTTGTGTACACTCATGCAGAGTTATAGTAAACTTGTCACGGATAGTATGCTCTATAATTAATACATTTTTCTAGTTTTGAGCCTGGTTCCTAATTTCAACAAGGTTTAAAATAACGAAAAAAAATTAATGGGGTATGAGTGTACATTGATAGGTCAAGAAGACGTTGAACATAAATATTATCAGAACAAATTAGGTATGTGCCATTATAAATTAATGTGCTTATAAACACCATGTAAATATATATTTTTTTTTTGTTCAAACTGTCATTGTAATTACTTAAGTATATTTATTTTAATAGTACAGTTAAGTAATTTTAATGATATAATATATTATAATACATTTATATTAAAGTTATAATTTGACTGCTACAAATATGAGTGTTTCTCTATTTTGTTTTTTATTTTTTTTTTTTGTAAATTTTGTTTTTTATTTTGTATTTATATTTTAGTTTATAAAAAAAAATAATAAAATAGATATTGTTGTATATAAATTTAAGTCCCATCAATATTTTAAAACTATTCTAGCCTTTTAGAACTTATACTTAAAATTTATTTTTGTGAATAAAACATGAAAAATTAAAATAATATTTTATAAGCAACAAATTAATATTGTTAATGGTCTGCTTTGTATGTCACACAGCCCTTAACCAGTTGCATAATATATATATAATATTATTTATTACATAAGTATACTTTTCCCAAGAGTATTAATTTTTTTAAATATGACTTGTTGTTTTTTTCTCATATTGATTTTGCTGTTAGTCATTATTCTTCATTGTGCAATGCGTGGGATATTATATTGAAATAAAAGAAAAAGAAATATATTATGTACTAAATGAGTGTCTAAATTATTTGAATTACAAAGAATATTTTCCTTTGTGACCAAATGTATTTATTATTTACAAATATACGATTTACAATTCACAATACCCTGCTAAAACACGACCTAAGCTTCATATTATAATATTATACTTTAAAAACTTCTATATCATCAATTAAAATCAATAAAGCTTGAGTGACTGCCATTAGCATTTTAGTGCAGTACTCTAGTGCTGTAAATGAAAAAATTCTTCAATTGGAAATCCAATTAGGATTGAATAACTTACTGAATCAGTATAAGCTATTCAAAATTTAGCTCAAATAGGCAAACCAATGTTTTTTAATTTTTAGAATGTTATATTCAAGAMCATTTTCTATTAAAGTGCATGTAAGTCTTACTGTCTGAGAATTAAAAGTAATTGAGTTAGCAAATGTGGTACTAGCTTGAGAGTTTGAGTATTATAATATATTGAAAGTATTTTTGTAAATACAAATGTAATGTACTCTCTACAAAAACAATTATCGATTTACTATAAACATATAAAATATAACACATTATGCTGTCTTTAATAAAATATGGGCTAGAATATAATGATTTTATATTATATATTTGTATGATATTGTATGAAATTTGATTGTAGCAAAAATKTATTCAACCTACTAGTGTTGAAATTGCCATTGATTACCTACTAGTATTGATTATGCCATTGATTAGGTACATTGCATACATTTTGTATATTATTATTTTTTTATTAATTTAAAAAATGGGCTTTTGCCCAAACAATAAAAAATTTGGTAGCTACAAATTATTATGGCACAAAATAACAATACTTTAACTACCTATAAAAAGAATGACATTGAGAATATCTGTATTTATCAAGGTTGCTTATTAGTTATTGCTAAGAACTAAGATTATTTTAGAACTCAATTCATGATTAGAAAGTTATAWATTATTATTTATTAGGTTGTTTTTTTCTTTTACAAAAGAACAAACAAATTCAACTTCATTAAGTACACCTAATTTAGTAGCTTGTTAATTGTTTCATTTTTGATCCACAGGACCACAGAGTGTACTACGAAGTTGTTAGTGAAGTATAGTCAGTTGTCACTATAACTCACAAATAAGTAAAGTTGACATATTATGCTTTATTATTCATATAGGTACTATAGTATTATTGTTTAAATTTTTATATTGTCTGGAATTTGAGTCTAAAACTCAGTTTAAAAAGAAATTCCATCCTGATTTATGGATACATTAATAAATAATACATATTTGTCACAAACTTTGGTACACATCGTTAGACATATCGCCTATGGTTTTGTTGCAAAAAAATAACAGGAGGAATGTGTCTTTTATTATTTTAACTCTATAGTAATAATAATAATAACGATAATATGCTATTATTCTAAATARTAAATACTTATATCACATAAATACATAATMCATGGCACAATAGAGGGGGGTCACCTATTAATATTTTTGAAGGAGCACATTAGGAAATCAATAGGAATCAAGAAATTGTTAGCAGCTAGGTGATCAAAATTGCAACATTCGATAAAAAAACCAATAAATAATAAATAAATAACAAAACAAAAATAACAAATATTTCAACACCATATACCAGCTAGCCACCCACCAGAACGTATAATGTTAACGGTTTTTACTTTTTTCTCTTGTCTGTGAGCCGGATAAAATSATGAAAATTTGTCCACAGGCCGCATTTAGTAACTCCTGACATAGCCATTAAACTACCTATACTAGATATGGGTAATATTATCAACTAATATATATGCATAAATTAAAAGTTAGGTTCGAACACGTCTAATTTCCTGAAATATGCAAAACCGTRTGATACTGTGATATTTCAATATTTGTATAGACAAAGAAATAAAAATTGTTGCTTCCATAGCATAGAAGCAATTTTGAAAAATATAGGATGGATTCATCATTTTTTTTTTAATCACATAATTTTTTTAACGAGATGCACTGTAATTAACATAATAAGTAATTAATTGACAAAGCTTGAAATGACAATTTGTTCAAATATGCATTGAATATAATTTGCATGCTATAAAAATGACACTAGGTTGAAATAACATGGTTTTTTGAAAATGATAATTCGTATTGCTAAAATAATTTTGGTTTTAAAAATTAAAAGATTCATGTTCTTGCAATCTAGTTCTCTCCGTATTAAGTCGAATACCAAAATGAAGATTCAAATGAAACGAGATTTTAATAAAACCTTTCCAAATATTGCTGATTAAAATGTTGTCTAATATAGTTGTGTTGATCATTCAAACTTTCAAACTCTWGTTGGTCTCTCCCCTATCATTGCGTATTAATAAATCATAAATTATATTGTATGTGGTTAAAATAAATCTTGAGTTTTACTAAAACTATCAACGTCTGTACGTCGTACGTCACAATAGCAAAAACTATTATAAAACAATAAATATCGATATTGTGGTGGATTACCTACCGATTATCAACGACTAAACATCGTAAATCCGAGAATGTCACCACAATACAATAATATTAATATTATACTTTTATCGATCACTAATCACTATTCAGAAGGGTCTTGTAAACGACAGGTTGATTTTTGAATCTTGTTCATGATATCGTAATATGTAATTAAATATAATTTATAATACATTTTACATAAACACGTCATGATAATATTATAAATTTAAATCTATGCACCATGATAAATTAATCATGCTACGCACTTTAATAATAAAATTATAATTAGGTATTTTTCGGTAATTTAATGGTCTAAAAATAGCGTCTTGTTTTGGTTTACCCTACCCGTCACCCCTCACCCGTAACCGAACACGGGCGCATCAATGGACGACTGACGTATGGCAACATTAACGAAATGACAACATTACAACAATCACACWTCAGTAAACAATCCTAAGCCCACTCATCATGAGGTGGGCGACGAATTGAAAGTTAAAACTGTAAACGAACTAATGTATCACTATAAACGTGACTGGTTCAATGTGAGGCATCGCGTGTTTAATATTTAAATATTCATGTAAGTATACACTTAGCAAACCTGACCTTTCTTGTCTTTCCCTCGTTGTTTTTATCATAATATTGTTGTCGTGAGTCTATCTGATCTCCAAACGACGGCAACCATGGAAACCGTTCGCGATGAAGCCACTAAACGCCCGTTGGATGAAGGCGACGATGGCGACAATAAGAAAAAGCTGAAAACTGGACCTGATCTCCATCAGTTTTTGCCGGCGGCTGAAAACATAAAAACCGTTAATGACGTGAAAAAATGGAATTTGCTGCCTTCAATTGTGTACGAGCTGCTTGCTCTTTTTAAGAAATCGGAGAAAGTGAACTCCGAAGATGAAAACCAAGTATGTGAACAAGCGATTTCCAGTAGCCGAACAATAGTAACTATTTATTTATTAATACGGTCTGTTTACCTATACCTAATAGTAGTCAATTTTTTATTAATTGGTTGAAGCTCAAAATTATTATATAATTTATATCTCCGATGAGCTTTTCGTTCATTTCTCCATCATACCTCGTTAGAGTTGG